GGGTTTGGGAACGCCGCTGCCAGCTGCCACCTCCACCCAGACACATTTCGTAACCCCAGAGAGATTGGGGGGGGCTCCTTTCACCTCCTTGGGTGCTGCCCTGTCCTGCAGTGGGGTGGATTGTGGGCCAGAGGGTCCCCATGTTCCCTTTGGGGTGCTGGGACCAGAGCCACCGGGGTTTGGGGTAGGAGAGGCAGCGGTTCCCACGCCCTTTGCTGATTTGGGGTGCAGGGAGGGTTTGGGTGAGGCCTGATTCTGCCAGGTCACAGGGGCCACAATGGTCACTGGAGTGGGGTTGAGCAAGTGTCAGCCCACTGTGACCTTGTGGAGAGCCTGAGGGGACATGGTGCAGTGCCCCCAGAGCCTGTCCTGCCGTGGGGCTTTCCTTCCTCCCCCTTGCTGTGGTTCAGGCCTAGGTGGAGATTTGGGGTTGGGTTGGTGCAGTGTCCCCCAACCCCTGTCATCATCCCCCGTGTGCTGGTGTGGAGGCATGGTCTTACGGTACCATCCCTGTCAGGAGATGTGGTCAGACCACTCCTCCTCCTCCTGCTCTGCCTGGGGCTCTGCCATGTCCCTCAGGCAGCAACACCGTGAGCCAGTGTCAGATCAGGAGTGTGTGGGGCCCATGTCCGTGCTGGGCACCATGTCCGTGCTGTGCTGGCTGGCGACGGCTGATCCGACAGCTGCCATCTCACTCTGGTTCTTGGCCCCCGCAGGGACAAAACCCCTTCGACCTGGAGTTTGACCAGTCCAACCACCTGGAGCCTGTCTTCAACTTCGAGTGCCCATCCCGTCCTGGTGAGCTGCAGATGCTACGGGTTCCTTCCCACGTTCCAGGGGGTGTCCTCCTATCCCAGACCCTGGGCTGTTGGCCCTTTGCCTTCTCCCAAAGGTTTTGGGGGGCTGAGGGCATGTGGAGTGGCTGGGGGTGACTCACACCAGTGGCTTTGCTCTGGTGCAGACATGCCTTCCAGCCAACCCATCGACATCCCTGATGCCAAGAAAAGGAACAAGAAGAAGAAGCGCTGCAGAGCCACCGACAGCTTCTCTGGCAGGTTCGAAGGTGAGTGGGGACCCTGGGGTCCCCCCTGGCAGCCCCAGGCTTGGGGACAGCCTGGGGAGAAGGGACAGCAGTGGTGTCCCACGCTGTGGCTCAGGTGTCCTCTCCCCTGCCAGATGTTTACCAGCTGCAGGAGGAGGTGCTGGGGGAAGGGGCCCACGCCAGAGTCCAGTCCTGCGTGAACCTCATCACCAACAAGGAGTATGCCGTGAAGGTAAAGCTCTAGACCCGGCTTTCTCCCCCCCTCTGCCTCGGTTTCCCTTTCTGCCCTCCATATCTTGGGCTCTCTTGGCTCCCAGGACCATGTGGGGCGTGGGGTGATGGTTTCATGGGTTGGAGGGGAGGCAGAGGGGCCGGACCATGCAGGTGACACGCTGTCCTCTGCCACCGCCCAGCTTGGGGACCTTGGTCAACCCCCTCAGCCACGCTCCCCTCCCCGTAAATTAGGGAGAGAGCCAGGAGATTAAATTAACACTTGCAACGCATCTGGGGACTTGGGGCAAGCACAGGGGTGTGGCACTGGCAGGGTGGCTATCTCCCCTGTGCCCTGGGGGGGGAGGTCTCAATGCCCCTGCAAGCGGGTGGGTGCTTGAGGGAGTTGGGGTGAGCTGGCTGCTTTTGGGGTTGAGGGTGGTGGTGCTGTGGCCCCCCACCCCTGCAGGCTCCCAGCCATGGTGTGAGCGAGCTGGGGCAGGCACCGTGTCAAAATGCAGCCAAATGCATTTAGTTTTACCCCATGAACCTAGGAGGGCCTTTGAGTGCCCCAGTGGGGAAACTGAGGCAGCAGGGAGGGCTGCATGGCGGTAGGGTGCCCAGAAGGGTCGGGGCTGGCGGGAGCACCCTGCCCATCCTGTGGGGTGGTGGGTGGGGACCCCTGCCCACTCCATGGCATGTCCTCGGGCACCTGTGGTGCCAGTGCTCAGTGGGGCGCGGGGCAGGGCCCGGTGTCACATGGAGCTGCCTTGGCCAGGGCAGGGAGGGAGCGGCTTGGCACGGCCTTGGGAACAGCCTGTTCTGCTGCCTTAACCCCTTCAGTTCCCCCCTGCCTGCCCTTGCCTGGCCCCGGGAGTCCCCAGCACGGCTGGGTGGGGGTGGGGGTGATGGTTGCAGACCCCTCCCTGGCAGTGGTGCCTCTCCCTGAGCCCCCCTTTGTTGCATTTCAGATCATAGAGAAGCGGCTGGGGCATATCCGCAGCAGGGTCTTCCGGGAGGTGGAGATGCTGTACCAGTGCCAGGGACACAGGTACTGGGGGGCCACCACCGTGTCCCCCTCCCGACATGGCCATGGACCCCCCCGACATGGCCATGGGGAGTGGGCTGAGACTGGGCAGACGGTTGGAACACCCATGGCTGCAGCCAGGCAGCCCTGTTGTGCGATGCTCTCTCCTCTTTCCTCACTGGGAGCATCCTGAGGCATCGTTAAACAATTTGGGGCCATGGTGGCCAAGTTGGGGGGTGCTTAGGGGCGAGGGGAGCCACTCTGG